CGAAGCCGTGACGCCGGTTTTGCTCAGACGTCCAATGTGCCTCAGGAGACAGCGTCGGGGCTGTGTTTTGGGGCAAAGTCAAGACGTCCCAGATGTCACAAACGGGGGACATTCTTCTCTGTCTGAAGGGCACGTGCAGTGTGCCCTGTGCTTTTGTTCCCTGCAAGCTGAAGGATGTGTTTCTGGATTGTTGACTCGAGTGAGTTTAATTAGAGCCGCGAGTTTCTTTCTTTAGAGAGAGCCGTGCGGGGCCAACGGCAGTCATTTCTCTATTTCTGGAGGAATTTACAGGCAGACCTTTGAATTACAGGGAAATTTTAGGTTACTGGCGCCCGACAGTCGGTCCCTTCTCTGATCCCGGAAAGCAAGGCCGCGGGCAGGCTGTGCAGCCTGTGGGCACAGCGGCTTGTGGGCGTGCGGCGGTCCCCGGCGGTCAGCTCGGCAGGGACCGGCGCCAAGGTCCAGGGCTTTGCCATTAGCAGACGGTGAAGACGAGGGTGACGACGAAGGCTGCCATCTGCGGGGCCGCGGGGGAGCGGCGGGGTTTGACTCCCTCCGGCAAATCGGGAGACGACCACCCCCTACCCTGCAGGGATGGCTCTGCCCCCCTCGGGGGCCATGCAGGGGTCGGAATGACAAGAGGCTGTCCCCCTGGGCACAGAAAGAGACAGCAAGCCCCATGTCACAGCCTGATGCCCGGGGTCCAGCTCCGTCATCCTGGGCAGTGGCCACAGCAGAGAGGAAGGCCACAGAGGGGGCGGGGGTGCCTGTCGGGCTGGAAGTGGCCCTGAGAGGCTCCCAAAGCCACAAGCATGGTGCTGTGTTTCCAGCCGCCCACCCTCCATCTTCTCGGTCAGGCACCGGTGACCTGGCGAGCGCCCACCTCTTAACAGGCCCTTCTGCTGAGGCATCCCTGTGGAGGAGCGTGGCTGTGGTGACCAGCGACTGGTGACCTGGGGCTCCAGAGACGCAGCAGCGTTCCCGTCCCTCGCCTGGGGAAACCGGCAGCGCTCCCTGAAAGGAAAGAGGCGTCTTCCCCGCGGGGAAGCTCTGCTCCCCCAGAGTCAGGGTGGCCGGCGCAGGGTCCACGGCCCTTCTGGAATGCGGCCTTCCTGATGCCTCCTTGCTGTCTCCAGGGAGGTGGGAAGCAGAGCCGGACGTCGGCCCACACCACTCTGGTCTGTGTCTGCTGCTTCCAGGCACCCGATTTGCAAAGACCTCAGTGAGTCCAACGGGCACAGGAGGCTCTTTGAGCATAAATGTCAAGCGAATGTCCCAATGGGCCTAGACACCAGAACGATGGCCCCAGTGTCTTTTCTTGGAATCCAGTCATCTCTGCACAGAAGGTGGGTGAGCAGGTCAGGGCTATGGGGTCCGGAGTGTTCTCTTTGGACAAGACAAGTTGTAATGGGTTGTGCAGTAGGTGAGGGCCTTGGCCCCAGGTTCAGTGGCAGTGGGAAGTAGCCCTCAGGGGCAGAGCGGAGCACTGGGCCCCCGGGGGAGAGGCCAGGCCACCCATCTCCGCCGGCGCACTCCCCGAGGAGCCTGGTCTCTCTCGGTGCCCGTGGCCAGACCCACGGTGTCCACCAGATGGGTGGCCACGGGGCTCATCCACCTCCGGCCAGAGCCAGAGTTCGGCAAACGGGAGGATCTGATTCAGGAGACAAGGGGGGTGGGAAGGGCGTCTTCGGAGGCCAGGAGATGGGGATTTCTGTCTCCCCTGCACACAGACCAAGCTCTCATAGGCCGAGCGCACCCGAAGGCATCCCGATGGCTGCTGGTGAGACCTGAGTCCCCGGGAGCACCTGCAGATGTCCCCGGACGTGCTGCACCAGTCTTCAGAGAAAAGGCCTTCATCTGTCACTTACTGTGTGGCCGAGAAGCTGAGGCCTGGAAGCAGGAACGCACCCGCCCCCCACCTCCACCCCACGGCCAGAGGCAGTGACAGGTGCACGGGAAGCCGGAAGCGTCCGGGCCCCTGGGTGTCCATCCGGAGGCTCTCAGGTGTCGCATGGCTGAAAGTCAGGACACACCAGACCTAGGGTGCCCAGGGCTGGGGGAGCACGGGTTCCCCACGGTGTGGGCAGCACAGAAGGCTACTTTCGCTGTTGGTGCTTTTCCAGCGGTGGAAGCCAAGCCCCAGCCTGTGTCTCCAGTTCTAACTCGGCTCTGGTCCACGGCGCGAGGTGTCTCGGTTCCTTGGCACTCTGGAGTGAGAGCGTGGGGGCTGCCCGGGCCCTCTCCAGCCAGGGAGGCCTGGAAGAAGTGTCCTTCAGCCTCCAAGAGACTAGGAGCCAGGGGCCGTCGGGGTGGACGCTGTCCCACTGCCGCTCTTCACCGGCCCCCAGGACTCAGGGGGAGGCCACGCACGGAGGGTCAGCCACGGGACTGAGTGTCCCGCGTGAGGCTCGGCACACCCACAGCGTCATGCTTCACGCGGTCCCCTGAGATGGGACCCCATGCAGGGAGATGGGGCCGGGGGCGCAGAGCAGGACACACAAGATGAAAGAATTTGGTATTTTCCTAGGGGCCTGCCCTCCAGCACTCCGCTCTCCGTCTCTCCCTTGGAATTCTCACCTCTCCAGCTTGCCTTTGGGTTCCCAAAGATGATGCCACCTGCCGGCATGGGCTCCCCTCTCCCACCTGCAGGGTCACTTCCACCCCTAGAAAAGCTGAGCTCTGGTAGTTCCAGGACACTGTTGGGTCCCTTGGAATCAGAGAATTCCTGGTAGGGAGTTGGCTCGTGGAAGCCACCGACAACGGTGGAACCCATCTGTCCTTTGATGGTTACTCTGATGTCATAGTGGCTGGCGCTTTCCTAGCTTTCCTGGTGGATTTGCAGAGAGAGAGGCAGAGAGACTCACGGGGATACAGGGAGGAGGAGGAGTGTTCTGGAAGGTCGGGGCACAGAGTGTCTGCTCGGCATTGCTCACGGTCTGGAATCCCCGAATCTGGGGAGGGGTGGCGGTTCGGGCTGAGGGCTGGGAGTCAGCGGCTCAGCTCGCAGCTCTACCCAGCGGCCGTCATCCCCCCGCGAGCCTGTTTCAAGAGCCCTTTGCCCCAGACTCTCAGACAGGTGCACTCTAAAGCCATGTAGCGCAGCAAGCCCCCGCGGTCTTGCCCGTGGCAGGTGCCATTAGGTCTACTTTCTGGTCCTCGTGACCAGCCTCTTGACATAGTAACGGTTCCCAAGTTGCTGGAGGAAGACTTTCCAAATAATCCGAAGCTCTTGCTCAGAGAGGACAGAAGACCCTGGTTTATTGATTCTCTCCGTTCGAGAACAGCGTGGAGGTGCCGCTCCCTGCAGGAGGGAGGTTCTGGGGTTCCCAGACACGACCTGCCTGCCCTCCGGGCACCCCTGGCACAGGGCGCCTCCTGGAAGGAGCTGTGCACGGTGGGGACGGGTCGCGTGGACCACTGAGGCTCTCGAAGGGTCTGCACGGTCAGTAAGGACTTAGGGAAGCCCACTGGCTTGGCCGTGTGCCGGCTTTGCCCTTGGTTTCAACTCAGGCTCTGTGTTCGACGTCACGTCCTGTCACTCTGCAAACACGCGCGTACCGCACCCACACCCACACAGCTGCCCGGCACCGGGCGTGTTTCCACGTTCTCGCGGACGTTCCTGTAAGCCAGTCCAAGTCCCATTTGGGGTTCCCACTAGTTACGGGCTGTCCGTAAATGAACAAAAGACAGATGCAAGAACCAGAGCCCCCAGGGTGTCCTCTGTCCCTTACAGCGCGCCCACAGGCGGCCACAGAGACGGGGTCACGCAGACTGTTTCTTGTACGCGACGTTACTCTAACGCATGCCCAGAGGTCAGTCTGGAGTGAAGAGGGGGAGGACGGGGTGTGGCCTTTTCTCTGCCAAGTCATGTTTTAAAAGAGAGAGATCTACAGTCTAAGCTTTCTGGCGTGACCCAAAGAGCACAGCCCTGTCCTCCTCCCAGCAGAGGCCTCTGCTTCTGCCCGCAGCCGTCTCAGTCAGTGGTGGAGAGAGCAGGGCACGGAGGCGCAGAGTGATCTCGGGGTGACCAGAGCCAGTGGGGGGCCCGCTGTCATCCGGTCACACATACCAGGCGCTCGGGTGGCCTGAGCGTCTGGGAGCACTGGCTCCCCCTGGGCAGGGTGTTTGCTTTGACCAACGAGCCGTGGAGAGAGGCGTCTACAGAGTGAGTGGCCACAGGAGCGGGACCACAGCCTGTCTCGCTGACACTCTTGGGGGGGACGGTCCACAGGCGTGTCAGACGGTGTGCTCGCAGTGCTGTCCATCGTCTCCAGGCACGGGTTCTCAGCCTTCTGTGCTTTCCCAGGTGACACACTTGGGGTCCCGGCTCGGGTGCCCCCATCACCTGAAAACGTCGGTCTGTGGCCGCCAGCTTGTGCGGTGGCCGCCACCGTGCATAAGTGGCACTGTGACTCCTGGTTGACTTAGGATTCCGCTGGGGTGATGATGCCTTTCTCCCTACTCCCCTCGCCATCCGTGCCCGGAGCAGGAGACGAGGACCACTGACGGCTGGTCCTCCATCCCAGCGTGGTCCAGCCGAGCCCAGGTAGGGGCAGCCCCCGCTAGCAAACTCCCCAAAGACACACATCATGTGACAAAATAATTCAACTAGCGATCGCTCAGTGTATGTCAGACGCTGGTTTTCGAGGGCAACTCAATGTCACGGTGGTGACCGACTCTCTGTGTCCTAGTGCCATAGAGCCGCTGAGGCCTGGCTGGCCCCGGGGGCTCTTCCCCCGCCCTTGCCCCAGACCTGGCCCTTGGCGGTCGTCACCTGTACAGTTACCCGACTGAGAACTCAAAGGCCTCCCAAATGAGGTTTTCAGTCTTCTCACCTGGACTCTCGCTAGCTTCCCTTGAGGAGCTGGCCCCTCGCTTTGCAAATGTGACTCCCCCACGTGCTTCAGCCCTGCTGTAGCCCGTGGGCGGGTGTGTGCCCAGATGTAGCCCCCGCCACTGGGGGGATGGGAGGGGCCTGGCGGGGCCAACACACGTCTTACCTGGTACATGGTGCACAGCCCAGGCTGGCTGCGGGCATGAGAGGGCACAGGGCTCCGTCTCTGCTTGAACCAGGGCACCTGCCAGGGGGACACAGAGTGGCCGTTGAGTCCATGCAGTGCCACTGGCAGAGCCCCAAGTCCTCCGGCAAACATCCCCTCCTGACCGGGCTTGGCAAATCCCTGCGCGGTGAGGAGGATAAGTGGGGATGGAGGTCGGAGGGTGAGGGCGTGCAGATGATGGGTGGTGACCACCGAGGGGACAGAGGAAGGAGGAGACAGCAGCAGGAGCCCCCGGCACTCCGGGGAGAGGAACGTCAGGAAAAAAGGAAGAAGAAGAAAGGTTTAGGGGGAAGTTCTGGAGCCCTGAGCCCAACTATGTGACCAAATGTTCTTAACATTGGAGCAGGCACCAGACCTGTAAGATTTTGGACAGACAAGCGGAGGAAGCACCTTCTAGCCCGAAGTGACACGCTACAGGGCTTGTCAAGTCTACACCGGAGTAGAGAAGTTTCCCAGCTCTCCTGGGACAGGTTTCGATCTCCTGCAGCCGGTGTGGGAGCTTCTGTATGGGATTTACAGGAGAAACCACCGTTGTTCTGCCATGGTCACTGTGCTCTCTCTGTCGGCCCTCCCAGCTTTCAGATACATGGAGGAGAGAGAGGGAGAGAGAGAGAGGAAGGAGAGAAGGCACCTTACGGTGGTCAGGAGATAAAACCGACAGAAAGGATTTTAGGAGATGTCTCGAGTTGGCTGTGGATTACATGGATTTTATAAAGCAGGTTACTGGTGGGTTATGTGTGCAGTGAGCTGTGGTTACGCACAGGAGAATGTTAGCGTGTCTAGAAGCATTACTGTGAACTGCACACGGAGCTTCCCGAGGCAGATCTGGGGCGAGCGTGCCTACAGCCCACCCCTGCTCTTCCCCCCGTGGGAGCCGTGATTTCTGTCCCAGCAGGACAGACTGGTGACTTCAATCCCAGGCACGGAGTTCTGCCAGAGTGAGACAATTGTTTATGTCAACATCTCAGGGGACGAGGCTTCGGTGGCTTCTGCCTTGATGAGGCCTGGTCGTCCCCACAGGCTGGGAGCCCCCCTCCCCCAACTGGTGGCAGATGGGCAGGTCCACATTATACTCTTGCCCAAAAGGCCAAGAAGAATTTTGTAACTCATGCTCCCCCTACTGAAAACAATGCCCCTTCTTAATGAGGGGGACCAGCTCCTTGGGCTGCTTCCAGGTTGCTCTGGGGATCCGTGTGGAGCTACCCACCCTCCCCCCATCCCTGGCACTTGGGGCTATGAGCGCTGCTGCCATGCAGGCCGCCCACGCCAGCACGGGGAGGAGCGGGAAGATGGGCCTTCTCTCCTCAGGTGACAGCAGAGGGACGAGGCACTCCAGTGGCCATGCTCGCCTGACCTCCCGTACAGATGCAGGAAGGTGGCTCGGGCACTGAGTGTGCCCCACGGGGCTGCGGGGACAGAGGTGAGACGTGCCTCTCAGAGGAGCCCTCAGTGGTGGGGCTTCCTCAGAAGAGTCCTGGTGCTCTAACTCTTCCTACCTTTATACTACTTCCTCTGAGGCAGGACCGCTCGGGGCAGTTAAGAGTGGGGTGGGAGGGACCCACGGAGACACTCTTACCCTTTCTGCGGGTTCTATGGTTCCTGAGGGCTAACAGGAGGCCTAGGGTGGGGACTCCCGCCTGGGATACGTTCCCTCCGATGTCAGCCCCAGCTCTCCATCAACCAGTCAGCCTTGCCTGTCACCAAACATCTCATCCTTCGACCAAAAGGAAAACCAGTGACATTTGTCACTGTACATGCTGTGAACGGACATAGTGGGCAGTGAGTGAGGACAAGGGCAGGTGAACACATCCAAATTAATTGTGTATTTGCTTTTATTTCTAGTTCATCCTAGACCCAACCTTATCCATGACCTTCATGCTCACCAGCATCCTTGGGAAGATCCCGTACCCTGCCGTATCCAGATTCCCGGGGTTCCTAGGGTGCTGGGACACAGCCTCAACAGGGTGCACAGGCGGGTGGGTCTCTCATGTGCCCAGTTGCCTGGGAAACGCCGCCGACTGGGCTGTGTCCCCCCACCCCCCACCCAGGGAGAAGAGAATCTGTTCTGCACCCACACTACCCCCAGAGCGGGACGGCGCTCTCCGACGAAACTGAACCCAGCCAGCGGCATAAACACAGCCAGGATGGACCAGAATGCTGAGCTGTCCCCGGAGAGAACAGAACCTCTCTGTGCAAAAGCACACGAGTGAGATGCTGCCTCCGTGTGCCGAGGGGGCGGCGCTCAGCCCTACACTCACCTGTGGGGTGTCACGTCAGGAGCCAGCGAGATCACCCGTAACAAATGCACTTCATGGGGGTGGCAGGGGGGACCCCAAAGAAGACAACTTGAAAAATTCACGTGTGGTTAGTTCAGCACCCGTTCTGTTACAAAGTTTAATGAGTCCGTGAAGGAGGAAACCCACGGAGCAGAAGCTGATCCAACAGGCGCACAGACACCCGCAGGAGGCTCTCGCCATCAGACACATGACCTGATGCCAGGGTGTCGCTCACACAGGGGTGTGGCAGGACTGCCCGGAGCAGGGCCACTCGCCCTAACGTGGATCTCACCCACTGAAGCCACGGGACCCTGGACTTGGAAGATCTGGGGACGACGGGCGTAAGCTGCCTACAGCCGCAGAGTCGCCGACCCAGAACCCACCAGAGCGCCGACACTTCACAGAGACGTGCCTGGGGGGAGCCTCAGAAAGCACGGCCGGAAATACACCTGCCACATCGCAAGTTCTCTAGAGAGAGCCGGGCCGAACCTCTTGGCAAAGTGACGCACCAGACGGACGGACGGCCAGATCATGGGCACACAGCCTGGCACGGAGAGTCAACCTGCTTTCGTGTGCGTGGCCGTGCTCCTGGGGGCGGGAGTTCTCCACCGAAAGGGTGTGTACGGGTCCCCAGGCCCCGGACTCGGGGGGTCAGGCTCCGCATGGCCGGGGGGGCTCCCCCGGCTTCCTACCCCATCCCTCCTGCTGCCTCCGAACGCTGCACTCCCCACAGGATTGCAGAACATAGCTACAAAATTGGGATGTTATGTCAACAACGAAGGATTAAGTGATGGTAGAACTAAAACGTGTTAAATGAAGATGCAGTGGGGAGAAAACCAGGAAACATAACGTGGTGGTTAATTTACGAGATCGGTTGTACCGCGGAGCGGTAGATGACAAATGGCTTTCATCCTGTATGATCAAAATTAGAGGCACAGAAACCACCCTGAGTGCCGCAGGATGGGAGGCTGGGAGCAGGTTACCCGGGGAGCTCAGCTGTGAAGTCAGGACAGACAGACACAGCCATCCGTGGGGACAAGCTTTCGTCTGGAGAAATGAGAGAGTGGCCTGTCCCCCCGCCTTCCTACTTGGGGACGGCCCAGGGGCACATCAGTGTGTGCCGCTTAGTTATTTCATAAAACCTCACCCCTTCCAGATAAGAAGGAACAAGGGCAGTTTCCAAAGCGAATGACTGGTCTAGGCTTTGGCCACCGTACCCGTGTGGGCCACGGAGGGTGGGAGTTGAGGTCTGACAAGGGGGCAGTGGGCGGGTCGTGTCCACAAAGACCGCATGCACTTTCTCCTTCATCCTAAAGGCCTGCCCCCTGCCCCTGAGCCCCACAGCCCCGGGAGCTGGAAACCTGTTCTCTGGAAAAAGACAAGAGAGCCCTTGTTTCCTCCCCCAACCAGGGAGCACGTTCTCTGTGAATGCACTCTCCATCCACGGCTCTCAGAAGAACATCCCTCAAGGAATTCATAATGCACGTTCCTTGAAGGTCAGCTCCCGGCCTGCAGGAGGGTGGGCGTGGGCCATGCATTCCGAGGATGGGGGGAGGGGAGGAGCCCCACGCGGCTTCGGGGGAGGGGGGCAGCGGAGGGGCCCAGGGACCAACAGCCCCCTTCCCAGGGGCCCGGCCTTCAGCCTTGCAAGATTCCAGCAGGAAAAACCTACTGCAGACAGACAAGCAGAATAATTGCTCCCCCCCGACCCCCCTGCATACTTTACACCCCAGGTGGGGCAGCTGACGCTCAGGCCTTGGGGGGGGGCCCTTTCGGGTCTTGTGTACCTGAGACAACCGTTTGGAATGACAAATGTGGAAACATGAAAAGGGCTTTTAGGAATGATAATCAGGCCCTTTGCTTCTCTTCTTTTCTCAAGCTTCGACCCAAAGATCTTTCTATGCATGCAGAGCAAAGCAGGAAGAGAAACAAACCCACGAAATCACCCGAAATCACCCGCAGCCACCGGGAAAGACCCCAGAATCCTAGGCCCCGTGGGCGTGTGTGGGCGGAGAGGGCTTAAAGCTCAGGTCTCCAGTGTTTCAGAGCAAACAGCGTCCACAGCAGAATAAAGGCTCTGAACAGACACCAGTTTCCAGTTCTCCACACGGGAAGGCATCGCGGGCCTGTGTTTCCAGGACACTATGTGACGACGTGTGCAAACCTAACGGGTTTCTCTGGCATCAAAAGGCAAGGCTGTTCGTTTTCAAATCTGCTTTATTCAACATTCAGTACTGAACAGAATTGATACTTCAGAAATCCTAAAACAATTGTTTAAACATGGTTTTCATTTTTTCAAAATCCTGGGAAAATACTCCAATTCCTCTGGCTCCCTGATCATCGGACAATGCTATTTTGCAAAGTTGATGCCTACATCTGAGATGAATCTTTTCTCTGAAAGTATGAGAGGGGATAAGAGCCTTAAAGCAACCGTGGCTGTAACTCTACATGAAGGAGGAAAAACACGCACCAACGTTCACTCCGGTGTATGTGTCCATTCTGAAGTAAAGTCAATGATTGATACCAGTGCATTCACAATTTTAATTTAGACCATAACCACCGAAACAAAGCTTGTTTTATAATATGTGCTACACAGCGGTTTAATCTTTTCTGCACAGTGTAAATGTTTTCCTGTTCCTTGAGTGAAGCAGAAGAGCTTAAACTTCCCAAACCGGCAAAGCCACATGCACAGGAGGGCTTGGAGGGACAGCCCGGCAGCCAGAGTCGGGTGCGGTTTGATAGCTGTGCGCAACAGCAGCGTCAGAAACAGGTCAGGTGACCACCACGTCGGGGTGAGGACAGACCCAAAGTCCAAGCAACTGTCTACAAACACAGACCCCGAGAGAACCAAGCGGAAGGTGGACTGAAGACACAGCAACTGTTAGTGGCCAGAAGTCATGACAAGTGTCCCGTGAGAGATGATGGCACCTGGAGGCAGATGCCAGGGACCCACGAGCCACACCTGAGCCTCCAGGAGCCCTAATTCCGGCGCCGCCAAGCTGCCCTCCCATTTATGTTCAACGATTTTACCATCATCAGTAATTTTAAAAAACTGTGGTCAGAAACTAAAGCAAATTTTAGAAACGCCTTTAAATTCGCAAGTCAGGCCCCTGCTCCCTACTTCACCCAGAAGAATCTTTACGTTCCCAAGACTTTCAGGGCCAGCGCGTACACAGCCAGAGGGAAAGCTGCATCGTCTGTGTTTTGTGAACACAGCCAATGAGCCCGGCTGTCTTGAAAAAACCCTCTCTTTCCCGAAGGACCAGCTAAGACAAGACCGGATAAAGGCGCAGGACACGCTATGCGTTTGCTGCAGCAAAGCCACCTGGGACAGCCCTCTGACGGGCCGTTGCCGCAGATGTGCCTCCAGGGGCCGCGGCTGGGAACTGGGCTACGACGGGAGCCTTTTCCCTCCTGATACGATTTGTATCTACAGAATATTTACATAGTGAAACTTCACAGACTCTCTCTTCAAATTAATGCAGTAACAAAATAATACGGTTTTGATTCATAAGCACGCAAGGATCCCTCCAGCCCTTTCCCCTAAATAACTCGGATAAAAGACACAATTTGCTCAAGGCGAATTTAAATTTCGAGTTTGTTCAGAAGTCCTCAATCGCACGATTGTTGCAAGACAACGCAAAGCTAGCAGCACGGACTCTGAGGAAAATGAGCACAATCCCATGTCGACCCCAAAAGCGTGGGCACAGAAGCAGGATCAGCCACAGAGCCCCCGAGTGCGAGACACTGGAGGACGGAGAATGTCCACATATGCACAGCACACCCCCTCGAGATGCAGAATTCAGAATGTTCTTGCCCTCCTGGGCCACATCCTGAAAGCGTCCCCCACGGGGAGGGGACAGAGGCCGAGCTGTGCGGGAATGCAGCGAAAGCAGCGACGCAGCCCCCCTCCCTCCCCGTCCGCGGCCGCAAGCACGGCCAGCACGGCCAGCAGCTGGACGGCCGAGGGGCTCCGCCAGCATCTCCGCCTCGGCTTGGCTCACCTGCTGACTTTCCTTCCTTTTCCTTGTCAACTACCGCGGACACACGTCCCATGTGCCCCCAGTTACTCCTCAGAGCTCACCTTGCCTGAGCCCCGCTTGGGCACACCCCTGTCACCGCCAAAGAAGCGCCCGAGGGAGTCGAGGATGCCCGTGTCCCTGTGCCTCGGGAGGAAGGCGTGCCTGGCGTGGTCCATGGCACTCGCTGATGCCAGGTACTTGGATCCGTGCCTCTGGGAGGGTCTTTTCTGTGACGCCATCACATCCAGGCCCTCGGGAGTGGCTGCACTGTCCTCTTGGATGGTCTGGAGCTCGTCTGACTCCGAGGGCCTGTCTTTGAAGGTGTTGTCCTCTCTGCCCGGAGCATCTCGGGAAAAGAGGCGGATCAAGTGGGGGCGGCCCCCGGGGTCAGCTGGGTTGGCGTCCTGCCAGGCATTCTTTGGGTCCGCTGTGCGCTTGGAGTCTGTCACCGCTGTGTCCTGAGAGGGGGTCCCATTGTTCTGCTCCACATCTGCCTCCCCTGCAAACAACAGTGAGACATGAACACGGGCCGTGCAAAGCAGAGCGAGGGACAAAGCCGCTTTCTTCCAGGGCGAGGGACCTGCCTGTCTCCTACCAAAGCCACGGAGAGTGAGCAGGGCCGGCAGGCGAGGTGGCAGCCCCAACGGCTTCTCGCAGGGCCTGACCTGCCCCGAGCATCCTACCTGTGGGTCTCGTCTCAGCGTCCCTTACTCAACATCTGGCACTCCAGGCCAAGCACACCCTGCTTCCCACGGAAGCGGCCGGCGTGGACACGGCCGTCACCCCTGGGTTTTCCCACGGCCGCACGGGGACAGGCCAGGACTGTGGGACGCTCCACCAGTGCCCAAGCCCAATGCGCTGGGAGCACGAGGTATTTTTAGCGTACTTGATGAAAATGGAACTTCCCACGTCTTTCTGCAATGCATGCCCTGAAAAAATGGGCATTTAGAATTCTTTAGTTTCCAGATCCCACAGGAGGCCTCTTGCTCCAGAGAACGCTTATTCAGGACATGTCCATGTGGCTTTTCTGCGAGCAGCCACAGTGGTAAAGTCTGAAGTGGGAACCGCCTGTTCCATGGGCTTCACCATCCCTCAGCTCTTACACACAGACACAGACAGAGCCTTTCCTTCCAGAACGGCCGTACCCCCATTCTGCCCTCAAGGTGCGAGTCAGGTGTAAGTGCACGTCCTCTCCACACCACCCCTAGTTACTTACCTAGAGAAATTGTGGGTTCACTCACAGGTTCCTTAATACCAGCCACCCACCCACCCAAATACCCACCAGTCTGCTCCCTGACCCTCACCCAACAGCAGCGTGCACTTAACCACTCATCTGCTCAGCTGCCTGCTTAGTCACCTGCCCCCAACCACCCACGGCTCCATCTACAGATCCGTCCACCCAGCTACCACCCCACCCAGTCACTCACCATCCTTCTACCCACCCAGACACCCAACAACCACCCACCGTCCCACCCAGCCTCCCACCCACCCAACCTCCCAACCACCCACCCACCTGGCCATTCAACCATTAGTAAGTGTGATGTACTGAGCTAGATGTTTGGGCTTCAGTAATGAACAAGGTGTGGTCCTTGTCTCATGAACGCTGATGGAAACGAGTGTTATGAAATGAGGAGTTCCCAAAATGGCATGTCCCCATCCTAAACCCCTGTCCCTATGCATGTGATCGTGTTTGGAAATAGGGTTTTTTGTAAATATAAGCATGGTAAGATGAGGTTGTACCGGAAGAGGGCGGGCCTAACCACACGGCTGGTGTCCGTATGAGAAAAGGAGCTTTGGACGGAGACACAGACGCACAGGGCAGGGGCCGTGTGATGGTGGCGGGGACACAGGGATGCGGGGACACGGGGACGCGGGGACGCCAGAAGGTAAGAGGCAGGGGGTCCTCCCCAAGGGCCGGCAGCAGGAGCACAGCCTTGCGGATACCGGGTCCCAGACTCCCAGCCTCCAGAGGGTGAGAGAGGAAATTCCTGTTGTTATAAATCACCTAGTTTGTGCTCATGTGTCACTGTGGCCACAGGACACAAATACAGTGTGTACCTTCACAACCAACCTGGGATAGCTAGGCCAACAGAGCAGGGTAAAGGGCTTCAGGAAGGCCCCATGAGAGATGGAATGAGTGGGCCGAGGGCACACTGGGGTGGAGTGCGGCTGCCTGTATAGGGGGTAGACGCCCGCAGAAAGACCTGGAGCCAGAGGGTTGGTGAGAGGAGCAGGCGAGTGGGAGGCCCAGGCGCCTGGTCAAGACTGCACAGGCCTCAGGGCCAGAAAGGCTCCAAGAGGGACCAGAGACCCCTGTGGGATGTGGGCGGGACCAGACTTCCGGGTAGAAGGTGGCTGGGCCTGCAAGTGAACACAGGCGGGAGGGACCGACGGCCATGGGAGAGACGAAGGTGAGGCCACGGAGGTCCCCTTGCAGGGGCCAGGAGAAGCCCAGCAGAGGCAGTGGCCTCTTCCTTGCGTCACACATATTCTCGGAAGTGTGTGCGTCGACAACATGCACTTTCACTAACACATCGGTCACTAACACATGGTCACTAACACATCGGTCACAGAAGGCAGATGGTTCCACGCTCTTTCACCAAAATCACATTGGTCAGGAGATGGCCCCATGGATGACACCCATCAGGCAGATGCGATCATCACCCATGTCTCCAAGGATGAGGGTGTCACCCCCAACGTATGTCCTCACTGTTTGCCAGGGACAGAGTTCAAGGCAGACACCTGGCACTGGGACCACCGTGACCTCACTCAGGCCCCTGTGGGACAGCACGCGGCTGGGAGGTGCACCCAGGCCTTAGGGACACGTCACTTAGAGCACGGCCCGTCGTCTCCGACCACTGATGAACTTGAACCCCATAAGAGCACAATTATTTCTAATGAGTCTACTAAATGCCTCTCTGCCTCGTAGTCACAGACCAAAACCACAGCTGGGGTCAAGCCCTAGGTTTTTGCAGGGGTGCGTGGCTAATTTATACGTTGCTCCAGAAATAGGGTCTGAACCTCTAGCTCTGCTTTATACTCTGTGGCTAATATGAATTAATGCAAATGTGCTAGAGAAACAGAAGCTGCATTGTACATAATTAAACGCATTAACAAAACACAAGCACATCTGAATACTAATACAAGTACAACAGTTGGGCTTTGTGTCCCTGAATAGGGCTGTTTGTGAGGCGCAGAGAAGGGCGTTCCTGTCCTAAAAGGAGCTTCTCTGAGCACAGGGGCGCGGGGAGCGGTTGAAATCTGTGGATGAGCAGCATTTCTGGTTGGGATGAGAGCAGTTTTAATTTGTTAATTAATATCAGCTTTCATCGAGTTAAAGCCCAATGCCGAGTTTTTTTTTTTAATTTTTTTTTAAAGATTTTATTTATTTGACAGAGAGAGATCACAAGTAGGCAGAGAGGCAGGCAGAGGGAGAGGAGGAAGCAGGCTCCCCGCTGAGCAGAGAGCCCGATGTGGGGCTCGATCCCAGGACCCTGAGATCATGACCTGAGCCGAAGGCAGAGGTTTTAACCCACTGAGCCACCCAGGCGCCCCCCAATGCCGAGTTTTTATTTCGACTCTAACTATGGAGCTAAGTGCTTGGTGCACGATTAGGGAGGCATGGGCTGGATTCTGCCAGGACACGTGGTTAGAATGCTCTAGCATTGTTCAAATTCTACAGGAATTTGCAGTAAAACTTCTTAAAAAAAAAAAAAAAAGCCCACCTCAATCCAATTGCTAGAATGACCTCCAGAAAACTTTGGTGGGAAATGTCCGGGACTTCCGAAAGCAAGGCTGTTAAAATCCCAGAATGGCTTCCCGGGGCGTCTCTGAGGAACAGAGACGTCACTCATGCCAGAGTGGCTCTGGAACAGAGACGCCACCAAGCAGGATGCTGGTACTGGGGCAGTGGCGTGTGCGGTTAGTAAGGCTCAACCAGGTCAGAACCCGAGCAAGACTCCGTCCGGAGGTCACGGTGGCCCCATTTCCACCTGTGAGTCCGGCTGTCTTCCACCCATGGAGCCCTGGCAGGCAGGTGTCCTAAACCCTGTGGCTTCTCCCCCTGGATTATATCTTACTTGACTGACCGCCTTCTTCCCTTATTTTCCCTTTTCTTTTCTTTCTTTCTCTCTCTCTATTGCTCTTTCTTTGCCACTGTTTGCTGGGGTTTCACTCCACCATCATTGCTGGTCCATAGACTCCAGCCTCTCTTGCGGGATTCCCTTTACCCACAGCTGCTGGGAGCGCCTGCACGAGGCCTCCCGGTCCACGCCCCTTGCGCGGGCCCCAAGTGGCTCCCCACTGCCACGTGCTCCTAGCAGAGGTTCAGCTGTTGTTCTGTTCTCGATCCAACAGGTGCCTGCACGCAGGGATGTATTTGAGAGAGAGGCCACCCAGAGCCCTGGGAAGGGAGGCCTTTGCTGCCTGGTCTGGGTGTTCCAGATTCAGTATGGACAGCCCTAGAAGCGGGTGGTTTTAGGAGCCCCTCTGTTCATATGAGGAAACAGATGCTGGAGTGTTACACAGGAGTTGGTGGGGAAGTTGATGTTGGCCCAGGTCTGTGATGGGGACACCATGGCTCTGGGGGCCTCACACCTGCTCTCCCTGCCCCGACGGGCTTTACCTGCAACGAGGTGTTTGCCTTTAAGAGGAAGACTTCACTGTGGAAAACTGGCAGCTACACCACATGTGGGTCACAGCTGCTTCATAGAACAGGGCTGCGGGGAGAGAGACGGCCTTAGCAGAGAGCCACCTGGCCCGAGTGTAGAGCTCAGCCAACGACCCCCCTGCCAACAGGAGACCCAGCTGCACCCACCTGTGGACTCTGCAGCTGCAGGAGGGGGTGTCTCCCTGCACGCGCCCCTGCTCAGCCACAGCAGCCACTCCCGACTTAAAACAGGGGTGTGCATTGGCAGAACACGTTCGGGAGGGCTGAACACCAAAACAAGCTGACTTCGGGAATCCTGTATCGCCACTCCGGCCAGACGGGCCACCCCTGAGCACACAGGAGCTCGGGGTACATTCTTCTCCGTACTTGTTTGGAAAACTCGCCCTCTGTAACCAGAGCAGGACACACACCCAATACCCCTGAGACTGTCTCAAACAATGGGATGACAAATGGATTATTGTCCCTATGACTTTTTATTTTTGTTTACTTACTTTCTTAAAGACTTTATTTATTTATTTGAGAGAGAGTGAGAGAGAGAGAGCACGGAGTGGGGGAGGCGGAGGGCCCAGGAAGAGGCAGAAGCAGACTCCCAGCTGACCAGGGAGCCCAATGTTGGGATCGTATCCCAGGGGATCCCCTGCTGGGATCATGACCCGAGCCAAAGGCAGGTGCTTAACCGACTGCTCCATCCAGGGCCCCAATATTCCTACTTTGCAAAGCAGAGTATGTATCTCACGCTCTCCTCCAATGCACCCATGGAAATCGAATTTCATGAATAACTTCCATCAAAACTGTGCACGTGTGTGTGCGTGTGTGCACACGTGAGTGTG